ATGTTTGCTTGAAAAATAACTTATTGATGCATTAATACTGTAAAAGCACTTCTCATTATCCGTATAAAATGTTCATTTGATTTTAAATGCGGACAGAGAATGAGCGTGCTGGGTGATAAGTAGATAAATATTTGTATTTTGTATTTCATTTTCCTGGGTCAGAAGTGCTGGTATTTCACAAAGATATAAAGGCACGGAATGCAGCTTTTCTGAGCGAGGGTATAAGTCGCCAGGCTGAACAGCTATTCAGCTTCATGTTTGATGGCGTCAAACTCAGTCAAAATCATGACGTTTACATACGATTAAGCGCACCATTCAATACACTTACCTACCGCAAAACTCCATGCCAGTCCACTTGATAAGAGCAGTGAGCACTATCCCTTCTTCGCGCTGTCACACGCGCCCAAACATCAACCACCAAATGCCCCAACACCGGTGTGTCGTTTCGTCGCACAGCGCGCAGACTGTCACAAACGCTGCACATGATTGGCGCAGAACTGCGCATGCGCGAACAGCCGAACAAGTATGGCTAAGCTCCGGCTTTACTCCAGTTAGCCGAAGGACACAGCCAGCTTGATCAGCCCGCGCTCCGCCCAAGTTAAGCCTGTTTTGGATGCGCGGGCAGATGTCGGGCTGAGCTACTGCTATCCGCACGTGGGTTTAGCTGCGGCATGCCCCAGCTCAGCCCTAGTAAAAAATACATTGGTTTTTATCAAAGTGGGCGAACCCAAGCTAAGCCCAAGCTGCCCGACGCTTGCCACAGTTCAGCCCAAGCGAATTGCTGGCTGGGAAATGCAAGTTTCTACAGTATCGGCCTTGCACCGTAGTTGCCGAAGAATGGACTGAGACTGATTGCCCAAAACGTGTTCTTAGGCTACCAAGACAATATTCGCTGCATACAATATCATTCAAAGGTCAAGGTCAAGGTCAGGTCAGGTCAGGTCACCAAAAACAAAATATAGAAAAAGGCATGTGCGACACATGTTTTATGGTTCATTTTATTCATAGAATTCAATAAGCATACTCAATAAGTGATATGGACCACCTCTGGATGAGTTTCAGGTCTAGGTCAGATCAAGGTCAGGTCAAGGTAGGTCAAATTTTGAAGTTGGTTGTTAAGGCCTCAAAAGGTGTCTATCTGATGCAGTTTTTCACGGCGAATTGAATGGTGCTATTTTTGTTGCTGTACGAGGTCTAGAACTTAAAAAAAAAAACATTTTCCAAAAATTTTGTGTGTCGTCCCGTCATAAAATTTTGAATAACTCCCACATTTCTGAACCGATTCTTCTAAAAATTGATATGTAGGTGCACATAGACCACTTCTCTGACATATATTCCGATTTGTTTATACACACAAAATTTTGGATTTTATGATTATTTTCCAAAAAAACAGTTTTTTTAAGAAGAAAAATTGGGTTAAAATCCACCATTTTAAAAAACCGAGATAATCATTTGATAGACAAAGAAGGACGCGTGTAACCTTTTTTGTTACGTCTTGATTCCTCTAAAAATGAAGATGTTAGCGGCGTTTGAAGATTTGCAGTTTTTGAAGCAAAAATGGCGTGACATGACGTCACTTAAACGTCATTTTCTCAAAATCTTGAGACGGATTTCGCTAAAATTTTCAGAAAATGTTTTAGATTGATGTATGATAAGGTACTGAAAGTTTGAAGTCGCTGGCGTAACGCTTTTAGAAGTTATTGGCGAAAAACGGGAGGGGGCAGATTCTGTCCCCCCCCCCCCCAGCGGGGCGCGGGCTAAGAAGAGGATTTCTGGAATGTTGAAGCGTAATGTACGTACGGCGTCTGTACTTAACCAATTATGTTCTTAAAACGATGATTTTACCTGTCTATCCCCCCCCCCCGTTCTACACCACTGGGCCTGCGTGGTGGCCGCTGCCACCGAAACAAAGCAGCCGGAGCCGTCAATGCCATGGTGCATCCTAGTGAGTCTAGCCTTTTACCTGATGCTTCACAGTCGCTATGTATGTCTGAAAGCAAGTTTGTATTACGCAGTCAAATGAATGGATATGAAGCTTAACTTTGCGTCAATTCACTCTCTGCACAAAGCAGAGGATGAGGAAGAAAGAAGCACGTGACTATAAATCCGTATTATCCGAACACGGCGCAAAACACCTAAGCTTGACCCAAGCTTGACCCAGGGTATCAAGGCAGGGTCCTATATATGGCCTTGGGCAGGGTATTGCAGGGTATATTGAACTAGGAGCTTGACCTAAGTCAGTTGTTAAATTGTACAACATCGATGACTCAATTTCGCCGCAAGCGATGCAAGTTTTCAGTCTCTTCCCATATCCCAAACAACGGCTAATGGGCTTTTAAATATATGACCGTGCGTCTTTCACGTTGTTCTAGTCTTTACTGATGCGTAAGTTTATTCACAAAGCAAGCCTGTCTTTAGCTAATTGAGTAGACTTTGTAAATGGCAAAGCTAGACGAGCTACTGAAGAACACTTCGAAGAACAAAACGTGTTGAGGAGCTGTAAAAGTAGCAGTATTTTGGCAAATTCGGCTCGAAGTTGAGCCTAGAACAAGCTAATCTGCCTCAAGTATCTTTTCAACAATGTCCGACGGTAAAGTCCAGAATGCTTTCGTTTCTGCTCGACTGCTCGTGCTTACCATAGCCATGATATCATTGTGCTTGATTGGTTACTACAGATTTGAGCTGTATATCAAAAATATAATCATTCATGAAAGTACGATGCAAGATATAGAAGAAGCGTGGTTTGACATGTCAATTTGTTTCGGACCCAAGTACAGCCTCGATACAATAACGTTATACCTGATAACAAACGAGCTGCGTCAGGAATATCCCGATAATTGGAAACAGATTTTGGCAGAAGCACATCCCGAAGACATTCACCTGCATGAAGCATCTGCAATCAATAGCATAGAACAATATCGAGACTTTTTCCTCTATCAGTTTAACTGGTCCGTCGATAGCATGTATGACGTCGGAAAGGCCGTCAACATAGACAGTCTGGGTGTCGGATGGTATAGGCATCTGTTCCCCAGCAACGTAACGAAATTTAAAGCTGACTTCAACTTTCTCAGCTTTCGATACAGCTGGTGCTTTAATTACACATACACTGATATGTTTGTGGGACACGAAGCTGTCGACGGTGTTAAGAAAAACATAAATGCCGAAGACCCTTTTCACCAAATAGGCCTTTACAATCACCAATACGATTGGTATTTTGAAAGAAACAAAATTTCAGAATATGTTGACATCTATGTTTATCCGAAAGGACATGAATTTGAGTATCCGCTGATTGAAGACCATGTTCCTTTCCGAATCGACATGTCAACATGGCAAAGATTGAGAGCAAGTGCCAGAAAAGTGGTACGACAAAACCGACAAAATTTCAATTGTATCGCTCAGGAAGAGCTGCCTGAAAATACGACATATGTGTACAACCTGTGCCTAACATGGTGTCTAAGGCGCACGCTGCTCAACCATGCAAGGTGCACCATCCCAGAACTGGATCACTTCATATATAACTTCACACACGTACTGGAAATCTACCTGGCCTCGCCGCCCGCGAAGCGTGGCCCTCTGCGTAGCAGCCTCTACTTCAACAGTGACACCGCGTGGCCGTGGATGCAGGACTACCTGTACCTGAAGCCGTGCGACTCGGCGCAGTCCTTCCGCGAGACGTTCGATGTGTTCGAGATGACGTTCTTCCCGCGCGGTGACAAGTTCGCCATGAACGCCTCGTGCGGAACAGAGTGTCCGCCCGACTGCGTCGAGTACCACGGCCTGCTGGCCACAGAGGGCACCGAGCTTCATCCGGCCACCGAACGCATTCACGGTGTCACAGTCTACTTCAACGCGCGCGTCGAGGAGATTCACGAAAAGTGGAAGTACACCATCTCGCAGCTACTGATCGACATCTCTGGTGTGATGAGTTTCCTGCTGGGCCTGTCGCTGGTCGCCATCCACGAGTGGTGCTTCATCCTGATCAAGTGGCTGGTGGAGCGCAGCACGTTCCGCCAGGGGCCGCTCGACCTCGAGCCGGCCTACCTGCGCGACGAGCTGCGCTACGATGACTACCACGAGTATGACGACGACTACTATTACCGGGACGGACAGCAGTCGCCGCGTTCGCACCATTCCAGAGACTACGACTACTACTATGATGACTACGGAGGAGAGTATGACTCTTACGATGATTACGGCGAACCGTACTATGATGACTATGGCGATGAAAGCTTTGACTACGCCGGGGATGAGAAGGTTCTGGATGCGACACACTCCGGGATCATGTTTCATCGCGACTCCCTGATGGCAAGTCGGGAATTCCAAACGAAATCATCACTCTTGGCGCCCTGACTGCAGGAAAGGTATCGGGAAAGGTGCGTGAATGTCTTATTAATGTATGGCAGCAATAAAACTGCAGAGTGCAGTGTAACTTTAGTTATATTTGTGCCGTACTCTACAAGCTGCACAACTGGAGGAAGCAGAGTTCAAGTAGAAAAGTGGCTTTAGCAGTGTACATATGTCAATGTCTAGTATAGGTATACACAGCTTTTACGCTGTACGTAGTTGTACTTACTCGTGTCAGTGCTTGTGTTCCTGCTTTCTGTCTTTGATAAATGCCGCTGAGTGTGTCGTGGATCTATACTTACCAGATATTTTTACATCTTTCACCTCGAACAGCGAGAGGTGTTTGAACTTTGAAGAGTAATTTTCCCAAAGTCGCTGAGTCATCAGAGATGATTGGCCTCTCGATCTGCAGGTCATCAAGCTGACGTGATATAACATTCTCTTCTACAGGTGCGGTGACGTGATGTAACGTCGCCCCAAGGAAATGTAGAATTCTTGCCGTAGCCAAAACGATTAAACAATTAGTAGCTTTTCCGCGACTGATGAAAATGAAAGTGTGTAGTAAGCCCTTATATCATCTGTTTAGGCATATGGCGATCTAATTTCGCGTAAACTTTGCGGCTTCACCTAGATGCAACCTCAACTCCTCCACGAAACATGATTGCTCGTATATGCAGCACACATAGAAACACACAAACACGCATGACAAATGCACATAACAAGATACACTGAGGGGAGAGTTGTCTAAAAGATTTGACTGGCTGCTAAAACCCTGTAAACATTTGCACCACATTGGTCAACACGCCAGAGCCTGACACAGACTAGTTCAGCATCGAAATTGCGTAGGAGAAATGACAGTTGAGGCGGCACAGGGCAGTTGGCCTCAGGGTTCGGCAGAACTTTTCTGGAATACCGACAGAGTGATGGCCTCGTAAACTAACACGGGTAGCTTCTGGTAGACTCTACTGGAACACGGGCACGGTGAGGGCTCCGTCGGCCGTCACCGGAGGCGTCTGGTAAGCCGGGTAGGCTCTCTGGCGACAGTCGCCGTCATCGCTGAACGTCCTCATGATGATGGTGATGTCCAGATCGCAGACACCATTCAGGTCTTCGTCCAGCACTCCAGGACAATGAGAGAGTGTACTTGCTCCACGAGGGTAAGGGTGCGTCAACCTGATGATCAAGAACAAAGGTGAAGATTTCATGTGGACGATATCGGATCATGTTAGCTCACGCAAAATAGCATGTTAAATAGCATTGAAGGTATTTGAACATACTACAGAACTGCTATAATTTACAATCTTGAAATAGGACAAAGGCCGGCTGACTCACCTGAATGTGATAACTCCAACCGCAGAGTCGTAGAAGTACTTTGTGTTGTTGTCGTCGGCCAGTACCTCCTCCCTGCTCCGAGCCGCTTTGTACGTGTCCGGTATCACCTTAAACCTCTTCTTCACGCCGACGCAGACCCCAAGCACTTGTTGCAGACCCAGTTCAAGTCCATATGGTGTCAGTTTGAAGCGGTGTGGCACGGTGGTGTTGAAGTGCAAGATGTACGACTCACGTGTGTTGAGCGAGTAGCTTATCTGCTTCTTCGCTAGTGGCGTCTCAGTCGCTGAAGACATCAGGTCGTCGCGAGTCATGAAAGTTGGCACACGCCAGGTGCGGTCGAAATTCAGACGGATAAATCGATCAGGACACAGTGCCGTACCCGGACCCCAGGTGGGCATCAGCACGCAGCGGGCGTTCAGGAGCAGAGGAAGCGGTCTCACGACGCTTGTACCGGCCACGGTCGTCAGCGACCCGTCAACGTCGAGCACGATGTTGTGGCGGTTGCCGTCTCGCTCTTTGAAGCCTCGAACAGTTCCGTCGCCGTCAAAGAAGCGAGAGCCTTCATCAGGGTCAGCGAAGTCGAACGTTACATTGCGGACGCTAGAGATCGGCGACGTGAAGTACTCGTTGAAGAGCTTCTTACCGATGGCACCGGCACCACGCAGCGCATTGCCCTTGAACCCAGCAAAAGACGTGTTTACGACATGCGTCGTGCCACGATAAAATGCTACACCCAGCTGGGCATGGTGAACGCTTCGCATCGCTCTCGAGCGACCAAATACCACCACTTCACCGGAACTCAGAGTAACGAGCCCCTCGGGTTCACCTTTATTGTCTGTGTCACCGACGATACGCGAGTTTGCAAGCATCTCGTAATGAGGACCAGGGTCCATCGGCAGAGCGGATGCAAAGATAATTCCGATGGTGTTCTCTGCCAGGCGGAAATTAGTGCAAAGCGTCCAATAGGACCTGATCCACACAGCCTCGAAGTTCTTATAGGCGACCAAGTCATCTAGGTGAAGGAAAGCTGGGTCACTATCCTCGTTCTTGGCATCCTCAAGTGGCGTATACCTAGCTGATTTGACAGTGCCGTTATCGTACAAAATGTCGGCAAGACGTAGCCCAAATCTTCGATTCGAATGCATCCGGTTGCCGTGGAAGGCCGGAATCAGAGTGTGAAACGGTTCACCGTATTCCAGACCCATGTCAACCTTGGCCGAGTGTCCTGTGGGAAAGTAGGCCAGAAGAAACCAGACACCAATCCCCTCCGATCCGGCGGCGCGATTGTTGATCAGAATGTTGTTGGGGCTTGCGATCCAAAACGTACTCACTTGGTCTACGCCATCGGTGGGCAGCAAAGTTCCCGGCTTAGTACTCAGGCCCAGATTCCCAATGAACTGATTGTGCTGCTCGCCACCGTCTTCCACGAAGTAGCAGTGGCCCAAATGGTGATACGCAATGTTCCCCTCCACGGTGAGATTGTGTGTCCCATGGACCGTCACACACCTGGAGAAGGTGTGGTGGATCGAGTTGTTCCGAACGTATGCGTCTTTCTCAGAAGTATCCAGGCACATGTGGAAGTGGATGGGATAAGAACTCATAACAGACTGCTGCCCCATGTGATAGAACTCGGCGTTCTCAATACGTGCAGAGGTAAAATTTTGGTGAATTTTAATCTGTCCACCAAACGTGTCGTAGTCAAATATGTCGCACAGATTGTTTCCGTAACAAGACTCCTCCATCCGGCCGTGGAAGCGGACATTTCGTGTGAGTACGCCCACTTCTGCTCGCATGTCGACGCCATCAGTAACCTCACCCCAATGCGTGTACAGCACGGGACCCATGATCTTCACCTCGTTCGCAGTGCAACTGTCGCACTCCAGTATCTCAAACTCTTCGGCCTGATTGTAGTCGAAATCGGTAGAGGCTAGCACAATCCGGTCTCCAGCTTTCCAACTATCGACAGGATTTACTGTTTTTAGAACCCGTTCCAGTGAAGCTGAGCCCCCTGCAGGGTAAGACACCACCTCGATACGATTGGCGTGCGCTTCTCTAAGCGGGGAGACGACGGACATGGCGGCGAACTCGACGTCGCCGATCCGCTGTACCAGCAGTCCCGTCTGGGAGCGGTCGTTGCTGACGGTGCCCACCGCTTCCACACTGTTCTCCGGGAACCCGATGTGGCAGATGGCCGCGAACGCCGTCAGCTCTTTGTTCTCCATGCTTCTCAAGGCGCTGGTTCGCTGTCTGTCATAGCAGAGGTCTTCGAATGCTGCCGCTATTTCCTCCGGAGAAAATCTCCTTCCGAAGAATGCCTTGGATCTCACAACAACGACAACAATGTTTCCGATGTGTTGTTTGCGACGAAAGAATTTCGAAGGTTTCACAACATGTTTCCAGTTTCGGACAAGGTGTCCAGTGCCATTAAACTCAACCATGAACAGTCCTCTCCCTCTCAAACCATTGTGGTTTTCAACAGCACTATAAATGGCTTTGTGTCCTACTTCACGCCGGGACGTTTTGCGAACAGTGGCATCAATGTTAGTCCAAGACAGCTTGGGCTGTCCGTGAACCTCAAAGACGCCTTGGTGAACGACGACGGCCTTCTGCACGCCGGGGGCGCCCTCGCTCTCGTCGCGTGTGCCGGTGAGAAGAACCTCGGCGTCTCCGGTGTACGGACAGTCCTCCGAGCCGATCCAGAACTCCCCGCCGCTGAGCTCCACCATGTTGGCGCTCAGCGTCAGCGTCGTGGGGGAGGTGGCGTCAAAGACGAGGCGTCCGCCGGCGGTGATGGTGATCGTCCCCATCGCAGCAGGGCTGACGTCCAACAAAATAGGTCTGTCGATCGTGATGTCACCGCCGGAAGGCACCTGAAAAGGAAAAATCAATAATAATTTGCAAAGTATTTGTTTATATTTTTTCCTAACTTTGGAAGTAAATACAATGAATGCCTTGCGGGATTAAACTGATAAAATGCAATAGTATGTCATTAGTCACAACTCGCTAATCGGCATTCGACCATATTTAGATGTATCAAATAGTGATAAAGACTAAGAAAAGGATTTCTTGCATGTTGAACGCAGCGTAATTTCACTTAAGCAATGTGTTCTTTACCCGGTGGCCGCTGGGCCTACGCGCCACCCGCCAGCCGCTGGGGTGGGGGTGGGCATATACGGGGTGAAAAAAGGTCATCACCAAAATTCAACTAACTTCTGAAGTTTTATTCAGCTCATTACCAAACATCGGCCACTTTAGGTCACACCTATGTAACAGACATCCACCAAGTTTCAAGTCTTCACTACGAATACTTTTAGTACAGTGTGTGTTTTACTGACGCACGCTCCACAACGTGCTCCAGTTGAGCGCCCCGGCACTGCAGGCACACCTGGGTCCGATGGGCGAAGTTGCGATAACCTGTCCGTATTCCACCGTCGGCATGGCTGATGGCTGTTGCCATGGCTGTTTTCAGGTCTGGGAAGGTCTGGGGGTTGTCGCCTTAACCCTCGCCGGCACAGGGGGGGGGGGGGGTTGATGCAACCCCCCCCTAAGGTTTTTCGCGAATAACTCGCGTAAAAAGCGGCCGATCGCGACGAAACTTTCAGTACCCTCGCATTGATCAATTTTACACCTTCCCTGAAAATGTCATGACCCTGACCACCCCTGACCCAAATGACCTTTGACCTGTGACCTCTTTTCTGAGACCATGTTTGGCCGGAATCGCGATTCGGCGTATGTCGGCTCGCATTAGCCGCGCGTTTGCAAGCTTTTCGTGGTTTCAAACGTTCAAACATGTGATTTGATGTTTCTCCCATGCATTAGGGTGGGTGTCGAGGTCACCTGAAGGTCAGGTCAGGTCATTGACCTTTGGTGACCTCGGGTGACCTCGGTTCACTTTTTCGAGCTTTACATGTTTCTAGGCTAGTTTTTGGAGCTGAATTCGAATTTAGCAACCATTTGAACATTTAAGAAGTAGTTTTGGTGCCTTCATAACATGTTACGAAGCTGTCCGAGGCGGTTGACATGTATTACGAATACCCGTCACAACCCCTACCGGTTGACCTGACCTGACCTGACCTGACCTGGTCTAAATGCTTTAACCCTCGCCCTGGCAGGGCATTTTTCATAACACGGCCTGGCAGGGGGGGTCGATGCGACCCCCCCCCCTCGCGATTGGCTCCTATGGCACCTAGAAACACCAAATTTGGTAGGTAGGTGGGCCCCCTGGGGTTCTCGCCCCTGTGCAAATTTGGTTGCTCTAGGTCAATATTTAGGGGGGTTTTGGGGGGTATAAATGTAAAAATTTCGCTAAAAACAGGTCGAAAGTTTTTCGCTTATAACTTTTGATCTAATTAAGATAGAGAAAAAAGAAAAGCACCAATGAACTCAGCACGTCAAGGCGCGTCGAATGATATACTTTTTAGCTTGCTTAAGTGTACTTAAAGTTTTTCTTAAATTTTAAGTAAACTTAAATTAATAAATTAAGTTCAAGTTTACCAAATTGCATCATATCGCATATCATTCGATTCGGCTGATCACCAGGAACACAATGGTACCATTTTTTAAGCTCTAGCGTCATTATGTGCCAAGTTATTGGCAAAAACGTCATTTGACCTCAGTTGACCTCATTTGACCTGACCCATGGATAAGCACACCAAACAAAGAAGCACCAAGTGACCTGCTGTTAAGTACCGTGGTTTCAAAGCACAAAAGTGATAGAACGAAGCGGATATCTCCAGTATTTTCCGAATTTAGTATTTTCCCATAGGCTTAACATTACGACGTAATGACCTCTAACTGACCTCAGGTCAGTGACCTGAAAAAAGCCGGACTATATGTTATACAACTCGGTGAACTTAGCACATCCTGAAAGTTTGAAGGAAATCAGTCGAAAACTGTGAGTTGGAGAGGTGCAAAAAGAAAATTGAAATTTGACCATGACCTTGTACCGGTTTTTCTGACCTGGTGACCTGACCCAAGGTCACCCGGACCTGAAATTTTCAGTTCATATGTAAAAAGGTTGCCCCATAAGCTGTGCCAAATTTGGCGGCGCTGCGCGCCGCCGTTTTTACGCTATCTTCGAAAAACCTTAGGGGGGGTCGCATCGACCCCCCCCCCCCTGCCAGGGCGAGGGTTAAGACATCATCTCTGATCAAAACTAACACGATATTCGTGATCAGCACCGCGGAAAACCACATGGCAGCCACACTTAACGACTTTCTAACAGGTCCCGATTTTCCCGGTTTTCGGGTCATTGACCTGACCTGGAAGGTCACCCGATGACCTAGGACCTTAAAATTGGGTATCATCGGCTTCCTCTCGTGACGGGCAACACGCTCATTTTTTCCGCGAAGCTCTAGCTCGATCAGGGGCCAAACGCGAGGGGGGGTCGTACCAACCCCCCCCCCCCTTTGTGCCGTCGAAGGACTCAAAATGGCCTGTGCCGGCGAGGGTTAAGGCCTGGCTACACTATGCGTTTTCTTCGTGCGTTTTTTGCGTGTTTGCGTGTTTTGCGTGATATCGTTCTAGAAAAAGGAACGATATTACGTTTTTGTGATGTTTTTCACCTTAACTTTTAGCTACATAAGAGTTATACTAGCTTTTGTATATAACCAAAGTAAAAATTATATTGTTTATAACTTTTTTCCTAGAACGATATTACGCAAAACACGCAAACCTGCAAAAACGCACGCAGAAAACGCATAGTGTAGCCAGGCCTTTACACCCTGTCCTTGAGGTACCCCCGTAGATAAAAGTCTGGAAGGTTCAGGTCCGGTGAATGCGGTGACCACTCCGGATCACACCTGCGGCTGATCAGCCGGTCAGAGAAGTGCTGCGGCAGCCACTCCAGTGATTCGTTTGAGGTGTGAGGGGTGGCGCCATCCTGCTGGAACCACTGAAGGGCCCTGACCACCCCTCTCCGTCGACCGAGTGTTGTCCAGAACTTCAGAAGCACCTGCATATACCGATCGATGTTGATCGTGAGATTTTTCGTCGTCGTCCTCGAACCAGAATGGTCCAATAATGGGGCAACTTTATGCCCCCCCCCCCGCCAGCGGCTCGTGGGAGCGATGAATCAGTGTATTTTATGAACATGCACATATTAGCGTTTGATTTATCGTTCTGACAAAACTCACCATAAAAGAGAACACATTTGAGATTATTCGTGTTCTTTTTTGTATTTATGTCAATATTTGAATGGGCAGCAAAAATTGTGTCGTATTTAAGGAGAAGTCAATGAATGAAATAATTCAAATCGACCAACAAAATCACAATAATGCAGTCACTCACCGTTTGTTTGTTCCAAGAGGCGGCCGCACTCCATGGCAGGAGGTCGGTAGCCTCGTGGGGGCACAGAGCCTGCGTGGTGGCCGCTGCCACCGAAACCAGCAGGAGAGCTACCAGAGCCATGGTGTATCCTGGTGGGTCTGGCCTTCTACCTGATGCTTGACAGCCGCGGTGTGCCTGAAATAAAGTTTGTATCACACAGTCAAATGAAGGAATACAGGTTCACCTTTGCATCAATTCACTGTCTTTTGAAAGAACAGAGGATTTCGAGGAAAAGAGCACGTGACTCTAACTCAGTGTTTTCTGAACGCAGCGCAAAACTAAGCCATTGACCAGGGCCATTGACCTAATTTAATATACCCATTGATGCCCCAATTTACCCGCAAACCGTGCCAGTCTATATGCTTGTCCATATCAGCCTTTTCCCATAGTCCCATAACAGCTAATAGGTTTGTAAATATAGACCTTTCGCATTGTTCTAGTCTTGAGCTTACTGATGCCTAAGCTTATTCATATTGCAAAACTATCATTAGCTGATTGAGTAGACCTTCATAATCATGTGAATGGCCAAGAAGGGATAGCTTCTGAAGACCACTTTGAAAAAGAGCGTGTAAGGGAATAAGAAAACAAGCAGCATTTTACCAAAATCCAAATTGGGTTCGACGTTGAGCCTAGAGCAAAAAATCTGAGCCAAGCATCTTTTCAACAATGTCCGGTGGTAAAGTCCAGAATGCGTTCGTTTCTGCTCGACTGCTCGTGCTTACCGTAGCCATGATATCATTGTGTTTGATTGGCTACTACCGATTTGAGCTGTACATAAAAAACATAATCATTCATGAAAGCACAATGCAAGATATAGAAGAAGCGTGGTTCGATATGTCAGTTTGTTTCGGACCCAAGTACAGCCTCGATACAATAACGTTATACCTGATAACAAACGAGCTGCGTCAGGAATATCCCGATGATTGGAAACAGATGTTGGCAGAAGCACATCCCGAAGACATTCACATGCACGAAGCATCGGCAATCAACAGCATTGAACAATACCGAGATTTTTTCCTCTATCAATTTAACTGGTCCGTCGATAGTATGTATGACGTCGGAAAGGCCGTCAACATAGACAGCCTGGGTGTCGGATGGTATAGGCATCTGTTCCGCAGCAACGCAACGAAATTTAATGTAGATTTCAACTTCCTCAGCTTTCGATACAGCTGGTGTTTTAACTACACATACACTCATATGTTTGCAGGACACGAGGCTGTTGACGGTGAAAAGAAAAGCCTGAATACCGAAGACCCTTTTCACCAAGTAGGCCTGTACGATCATCAATACGATTGGTATTTTGACGGAAACAAAATTTCGGAATATGTTGACATCTATGTTTATCCGAAAGGACATGAATTTGAGTATCCGCTGATTGAAGACCATGTTCCATTTCGAATTGACATGTCAACATGGCAAAGATTGAGAGCAAGTGCCAGAAAAGTGGTACGGCAAAACCGACAAAATTTCAATTGTATCGCTCAGGAAGAGTTGCCTGAAAATACGACATATGTGTACAACCTGTGCCTAACATGGTGTCTGAGGCGCACGCTGCTCAACCATGCAAGGTGCACCATCCCAGAACTGGATCACTTCATATACAACTTCACACACGTACTGGAAATCTACCTGGCCTCGCCGCCCGCGAAGCGTGGCCCTCTGCGTAGCAGCCTCTACTTCAACAGTGACACCGCGTGGCCGTGGATGCAGGACTACCTGTACCTGAAGCCGTGCGACTCGGCGCAGTCCTTCCGCGAGACGTTCGAAGTGTTCGAGATGACGTTCTTCCCGCGCGGTGACAAGTTCGCCATGAACGCCTCGTGTGGAACCGAGTGTCCGCCCGACTGCGTCGAGTACCACGGCCTGCTGGCCACAGAGGGAACTGAGCTCCATCCGGCCACCGAGCGGATTCACGGTGTCACAGTCTACTTCAACGCGCGCGTGGAGGAGATTCACGAAAAGTGGAAGTACACCATCTCGCAGCTACTGATCGACATCTCTGGTGTGATGAGTTTCCTGCTGGGCCTGTCGCTGGTTGCCATCCACGAGTGGTGCTTCATCCTGATCAAGTGGCTGGTGGAGCGCAGCACGTTCCGCCAGGGGCCGCTCGACCTCGAGCCGGCCTACCTGCGCGACGAGCTGCGCTACGACGACTACCACGAGTATGACGATGACTATTACCGGGACGGACAGCAGTCGCCGCGTTCGCACCATTCCAGAGACTACGACTACTACTATGATGACTACGGAGGAGAGTATGACTCCTACGATGACTACGGCGAACCGTACTATGATGACTACGGTGACGAGAGTTTTGACTACGCCGGAGATGAGAAGGTTCTGGACGCGGCACACTCTGGAATTATGTTTGATCAGGCCTCGCTAATGGCGAGCAGGGAACTCCATACCAAATCATCACACTTGGCGCCCTGAGTACGGGAAAAGCATCAGAAAAGTGTGTGAAATGTGTTACTGGTGCATGACAACAAGAAAACAGCAGTGTCACTTATATTTGTGCCGTGCTCTACAATGTAAGTAATTGGAGAGAGCAGCGTAACTTCCTACATGTGTCCATGTCCGGTGTCAACCAGTACACTGCTGTTATGCTGTCTGTGATTGTATTTGTGTCTGTCTGACTTTGCGCTATTTCCCACGGTTGGTAAATAAAGTTGAATGCGTTGTGGACTTTCTGGCTAATCTTGCTACGTTTCAGCTCGTACAGCGGCAAATGTTTAGAAAATAGAAATCAAAATATCTTTTCCCAGCCCTGCTGACGTCCGAGGCAATGCACTTCTCCATCTTCAGGTCACCAGGTCACGTCGACTAATAGCCTGACCTCAAGAAGACGTTGAATGCCCGCCGTAGCTTTATCGATACCACATGCCCGTCAGGTCATCGTAGCACGTAGGTCATGAAAGGTCGCCAACAGTCATAGAAAAAAACATTAACAACTTTTTTCTCACAAAACAAAGAAGTTCACTTTTAACCCGCGCGGAGCTGGGGGGTCAATTTTACCCCCCTCGCGAATTTTTGCAATATCTCAAAAACGGCGGCGCGCAGCGCCGCCAAACTTTCAGTACCTTTTTTTACATCAATTTGACACGTTCCCTGAAAATTTGAGCGAAATCCGTCGGAAAATTTTTGAGAAATTGACGTTTTAGTGACGTCATGTTCGCCATTTTCGCCTCAAAAACGGCAAAAGTTCAAACGCCGCTAACATCTTCATTTTTAAAGGAATCAAGACGTAACAAAAAAGGATATACGTAATTTGTCTTTGTCTATCAAATGGCTATCTCGGTTTTTTGAAAATTTTGGATTTTGGCCCATTTTTTTCAAAAAACTGACTTTTTTGGGAAAATAGCTATAAAATCCAAAATTTTGAGTGTATCGAAAAAAACAGAATATATGTCAGAGAAGTGGTCTATGTGCACCTACATACCAAGTTTTAGAAGAATCGGTTGAAAAATGTGGGAGTTATTCAAAATTGTATGACGTCACGACACACAAAATTTTTGAAAAATGACTTTTTTGGAAGTTCTAGACCTCGTACGGAAACAAAAATAGCACCATTCGATTCGCCGTGAACAACTGCATCAGATAGACACCTTTTTAGGCCTTAACAACCAACTTCAAAATTTGACCTCACTTGACCTGACCTTGACCTGACCTCGACCTGAAATTCATCCAGAGGTGGTCCATATCACTTATTGAGTGTGCCTATTGAATTCTATGAGTAAAATGACCCATAAAACATGTGTCGCACATGCCCTTTTCTATATTTTGCTTTTGGTGACCTGACCTGACCTGACCTTGACCTTGACCTTTGAATGGTATTGTATGCAACGAATATTGTCTTGGTAGCCTAAGAACACGTTTTGGGCGATCAGTCTCAGTCCATGACTCCATTCTTCGGCAACTACGGTGCAAGGCCGATACTGTATAAACTTGCAATTTGTACCCTTGACCTGACCTTGACCTTGACCTCAAACTTAAAATTAAGTACATGTTTTTAGTTGTTCGTGATGAGATCTTTCGATTGGCGTTTGAATTTTACAAATCGGACCATTAGTTCGGGAGATAACAGGGGGGGGGTAAAATTTACCCCCCCCCCAGCCCCGCGCGTTCGGCTGGAGACCCCAGCCCCGCGCGGGTTAATGAAAAAGCATTTTAAGAGCACAAAACATAACTGTTTTTTAAGTTATCATTAAATTAATAAACATATATGTACTCTTATTTACCTACGAATTATGTGGTAAGCCAAAGCCGCACTCAAGGATAAGATCTTAGTTTTTACGCAGATATTTGTATCATGTCTTACCGTTTGCTGATGTTTTGAGATCTCAAAAGAACATTCCTTTTGGGGGTTATTTCCAGTTGACTTTTCATTCGATTTGAGTTTTCTGTCCCGTGACTGAGTCGCACTGTCCTCTGTTTTGTTGGTCAGAGCTCGGGCGGTACGCCATTCACCAGATCAGAGCTCAAACTGAATGTCAAGTGCGCAGCGAGGTGCATCTGTGAACAGTCCGCTGCCAGCCTCTGTCCGATGATGTTTTGTCAGTAACCGAGCTCACTAAACCAGTTGGCTCCAGAGCCCCTGTGACGTCAGCAGCAGAGAGCCTCTATCAACGTAAACGGAGCTGCGGTACATACCCGGCCGACGGCGTGGAAGCTGGCTCAGTGTTTACCCAATGAGTACCTAACACAGATCAGACAGCCTGATACAATGCTTCTGCGTGGCCTCCCCGCTCCATCGTTCTGGTAAATTTGATATCAATCCACAAAATGGTAGTTGTCATTTCTAAGAAAGCTGAAACGTGCAGGCCGCACGGGTTGATAGGAAGGAAGGTGGCATCGTTCCAGAAATTGCACCTAACTCGTCACTTGTTCTTGGGTTCCTTCAAAATACCACTTTCTCCGTTCCTCTGAAATAAATATAACTGAATTTACTTTTATTTTCGTTCTTTTTTATCATTCCGGTAAAAAATCGCCTAATGTTATTATGTATCTCACACTTAACCCGCGCCCCCCTGGGCTATTCAGCCATACGTACCCTGCTGGGGGGGGGGTAGATTCTGCCCTCCCCCCCTGTCTAACTTCCGAACCGATGGTCGTAGAAAGACGGGGAAAACGGCAATCGAAAGCTCTCAACAAGGAGGATCTTAAGATCCCAAATTTTTTTGCTTAAGTAGGTCAGAGGTCAGGTCAAGGTCAGGTCAAGGGTACAAAATGCAAGTTTCTACAGTATCGGCCTTGCACCGTAGTTGCCGAAGAAGGGACGGAGACTGATTGCCCAACACGTGTTCTTAGGCTACCAAGACAATATTCGTTGCATACAATATCATTCAAAGGTCAAGGTCAAGGTCAGGTCAGGTCAGGTCAGGTCAGGTCACCAAAAACAAACTAGAAAAGAGCATGTGCGACACATGTTTTATGGGTCATTTTATTCATATAATTCAAAAGGCACACTCAATAAGTGATATGGACCACATCTGGATGAGTTTCAGGTCGAGTTCAGGTCAAGGTCAGGTCAAGTGGGGTCAAATTTTGAAGTTGGTTGTTAAGGCCTAAAAGGTGTCTATCTGATGCAGTTTTTCACGGCGAATCGAATGGTGCTAATTTTGTTTCCGTATGAGGTCTAGAACTTCCAAAAAAATCTTTTTTTCAAAAATTTTGTGTGTCGTGACGTCATAAATTTTGTATAACTCTCACATTTTTTTAACCGATTTTTCTGAAACTGGTATGTAGGTGCACATAGACCACTTCTCTGACAATATTCCGGTTTACGTCATTTTCTAAAAAAGAACAATTCCGCGGATTTCGCTCAAATTTTCAGGGAACGTGTCGAATTAATGTATGATAAGGTAGGTACTGAAAGTTTGACGTCGCTGGCGTAACGCGTTTAGAACTTATTGGCGAAAAACGGGAGGAGGCAGATTCTGCCCCCCCCCCCCCAGCGGGGCGCGGGTTAATGAGGCATACATCCATTTTTTCGGACATCGAGACAGCGAGACAGTAAGCCGCCACTTTAAATGAACAAATCCACCAGCTCAGCAGCCTAACGAAGTTATTCACCGATCGAGTGGGCCGCCAGGTTCCAATGGCAACACACCGACAGCATGCCACCAAAAATGAGGACATGTGAAGTTATTGGCCGCTTCGCTAACATTCCTCCGTTGCAGAATCTTTAACCCTCGCCGGCCGAGGGGGGGGGCGGGTGCCGCCCCCCCCCCATAGGGTTTTTTCGCGATAGCTCCGAACACGCTGGCGATAGAGAGCTGAAACTTGGCATACCTGACCTTTGATCCAAGCCGCATCTTTTGACACCAGCTGCATTTTTGGGTCAGGTCAGGTCACTGACCTATGACGTCATAAGTGAACCTCTGCACGGTCTTCAGATGTCGCAACTTCGCAACGCCCTCACTGCCAGAGGAGATGTCACAGGGAAATGAAACTTGCAGGATCTAGTATCCATTATGAGTCTCACAACTTGTATATCTCGGATTTTTCCTAAAGGTCATATGAGGTCAGGTCATTTTCGTGACCTCACCATTATAAGTCAATGGGGAAAAATTCAAACTGCTATTCTGGCGCCGGGAACGATCTCCAACTATCTCAAGCACACAGAATCGTGATTTGATGCACTCCTTGCAAGGTTAGATGCGTCACTTTTGCAATGTTGACCTTGCGTGACGTCATTTATGACGTCATCAAGGTCATATTAGTTTTTCGTCAATAACTCTTGATCAAATTGAGTTAGCGAGTCGAGAAAGCCACCAATGGACTCGGGAAGACCTCCCGAATCGAATGATATGCGACATCACCTCTTTCGATTAACTTCGTGACCTGGGGGTGCTGACCTGACCTTGACCTGAGGTCAACACCCCAAGTTGACCTGACCCGGACAAAAAGTATATCATTCGACGCGCCTGAGCGAGGCGAACACGATGCTGCCAAAATCGCGGCTCTGCGGCCGTTTTTAGCGAAGTTATTCACCAAAAACGGAACCGTACCCTGGGGCACTTGACCTGACCTCAGAGGTCACCGGTTGACCTAGGACCTTAAAATCGGGTACCAACCTCTGCGTCTCGTAACGGCGCACACGCTCGTTTTTTCCGCGACGCGCTAGCTCCACCAGGGGCGAAACGGCGAGGGGGGGTTCGTACCCGCTCCCCCCCCCCCCCTCGGCCGGCGCGTATGTAGAAAACCAATAGGTCCGGCGAGGGTTAAACGTTGATCCTGAATATAGGAAAGAAGGGACAGGTCACGCACATTGCAAATGCACATACATGATAAATATACATGGCTCAGGAAAATCCTCCATGAATCTCACCCATTTCTTACACTCTAATTCATCCCAATCACTTCATGGCCAATCACGCAGGATGTCAGTTTTTCCCTCGTTACCCACACCAAATGCTTATCCAGCATCCCGTCTTCGCTCTGATGGTTGCCGGGCCCTCTCCCCTTCCCTCTCCTTCCATGACCGGGCCAGTCTGTCGCCAGGCACAGATCGGAAATAGGGGGGAGGTCAGCAGGCGGGGGAAGGGCCTCATCGGAATCGATCCACATCGGCGGCGGCGAAGGTAGCGGCGGCGTCCGACGACCGACGGGGCCACCACCACCGACGACGGCGGCGTTCGATAGCAGTGCGCAGACGCGCCTCCGCCGCCGCCGCCGCCGGAAGTTGCCCGAGATAGGGCGGGCGGCTGTGGGGCGGTGGACGGGCGGTGGTTGAGCGTCTGTCGGGCGGCTGACGGCCGGTGCGGGGTGCGATACGGTGGTGGGTGACCCTCTCCTTTCACGGCGGTGACGCGTGAGAAGCGGAGGCGCCATGGCAGCCGACGGCGCCGCCAGCGAGGGTCAGGAGACCAGCGTCGAGGCGCTGCGCAAGGAAATCGAGTCACTCAAGGTCAAACTGGATGAGGAGCGACAGAAAATGAACGATGTGACACGTGAGTACGGTCCCCGGCGGCGGCTCCACCACTCCCAGAGATATTGAAGGAGAGTACCTTCTGTGTTCTCGGTATAATATTACGCCAAACATGCTAAAGGTGGTAAAAGCCAGCCACTCCAATAGTCCTCTTGCAACAGCCAGCTATCATGCAGCCAGCTGACTGTGCGACGTGCGTGGGTACGTTTAAGGTTACCGTCTACCGACTACGGATAGGCACTCTCGTCTGTCGTAATAATCTATGCTTTCTATATGTAACATGTATGTAACCTTTTCAGTGAACGTGCGTTGTGCGCACGTGGATGTTATTTGCATCTTTCTAGATGAACTGTCATGGCTCGAGTTTCCCCCAAGCAAAGCAAACCCTCTCAAGGTCCAAGGTATCGCATCAGCGCTGGCGGCCTCTTTTATTAGAAGTAGCAGACACAATGAAAACTATCTTTAAGTAGATACACGGATGATTGCCGCTCTGTCGCTAATGCAATTGACATTTCCCTTGTCAAAGGCCAGCCACTGATTGTTGACGATATTTCATTAAAAATCCAGCCGCGTGTGACGAAGGAGGAACGTCGCACCAATATTTATTGGACACGAAGCAATTAGGGAAGAGAGAGAGTCGGGATTTTCCGTCACCGGTGCAGTGGTAACAGATTTGCAATTCATCATCTTTAGCTGCAAATATTTCCAGTGCTATATAAGGCTGTCTGTTTAACCCGCGCCCTGCTGGGGGAGGTGTTTGAACACCCCCCTTGTGGTTTTTCGCAAATATCTCAAAAACGGCGGCGCGGAGCGCGCCGCCGTTTTTGGTACACCTTATCATACATCAATTCTACACATGTTGTGAAAATTTCAGACCAAGGTCATTCAAGGTCAGGTCACTAGATCACTTGAAGTGACCTCACCTCATAAAAAGTTTCAATGTCTGTCATAGCTACACCGAGTGACTGATTGCTTTGAAACTTTCAGCGATCGCTAAGAGCAATATCATGTACAAAATGTATATCTCAGAATTTTGATATCGATGACCTAAGGTCAGGTCAATTTTGCGACCTCCCCAAGTGGGGAGGTCGCAAAATTGTTTTAAAGTGCTTTAACCCTCGCCCTGGCAGGGGGGGTCGATGCGACCCCCCCCCTAAGGTTTTTCGAAGATAGCGTAAAAACGGCGGCGCGCAGCGCCGCCAAATTTGGCACAGCCTATGGGGCAACCTTTTTACATATGACCTGAAAATTTCAGGCCCGGGTGACTCAGGTCACCAGGTCAGAAAAACCGGTACAAGGTCATGGTCAAATTTCAATTTTCTTTTTGCACCTGTCCTACTCAGAGTTTTGCACTGATTTCCTTCAAACTTTCAGGATGTGCTAAGTTCACCGAGTTGTATAACATATAGTTCGGGTTTTTTGAGGTCACTGACCTGAGGTCAGTTAGAGGTCATTACGTCGTAATGTTAAGCCTATGGGAAAATACTAAATTCGGAAAATACTGGAGATATCCGCTTCGTTCTATCACTTTTGTGCTTTGAAACCACAGTACTTAACAGCAGGTCACTTGGTGCTTCTTTGTTTGGTGTACTTATCCATGGGTCAGGTCAAATGAGGTCAACTGAGGTCAAATGACGTTTTTGCCAATAACTTGGCACATAATGACGCTAGAGCTTAAAAAATGGTATCATTGTGTTCCTGGTGATCAGCCGAATCGAATGATATGCGATATGATGCAATTTGGTTAACTTTAACTTAATTTATTAATTTAAGTTTACTTAAAATTTAAGAAAAACTTTAAGTACATTTCAGCAAGCTAAAAAGTATATCATTCGACGCGCCTTGACGTGCTGAGTTCACTGGTGCTTTTCTTTTTGCTCTATCTTAATTAGATCAAAAGTTATAAGCGAAAAACTTTTGACCTGTTTTTAGCGAAATTTTTACATTTATACCCCCCCCAAAACCCCCCTAAATATTGACCTAGAGCAACCAAATTTGCACAGGGGCGAGAACTCCAGGGGGCCCACCTACCTACCAAATTTGGTGTTTCTAGGTGCCATAGGAGCCAATCGCGAGGGGGGGGGGGGTCGCATCGACCCCCCCCCCCCTGCCAGGCCGTGTTATGAAAAATGCCCTGCCAGGGCGAGGGTTAAGTCAATGGGAGAAAATTGAAATGCGCCTCTTTTGGACGAAAGACATTATAAACACTCCCAAACACTGAATTACAAGTGGTTTAGACACACTGAATATGAAAATGGTGTCCGTGACCCCTGTTTATGCCCTGGGGTCATCTTAGGTCACGAATGATATCTCAGTTTTTCGCAAATAACTTTTGATAGAGGCATGCTAGAGCGATGAGAACGCCTTAGATGTGTTCTGCTCGACGATACGGATCGATTGATATGCAACATAACATGACCCTTTCCGGTCAGGTCATGACCTTGACCTGAGGTCAAATTTTCAAGCTGACCTTTCAAGGTCAAGTTATAGTTCATTCGATGCGTCTTGACGAGAGGAACACGATGCCGGTAAAAGTAAGCTCGTACAAGGCTTGGGTCAAAAGTTATTGCAGAAAAACTGTTTCCGAAAAAATCGGCTATTTTTGCAGTTTTTGCCCCCTGCAGGCAAAACCGTTGACGTTAGGTCAAATCTGAGAAAATTACTCAGAAAGGGCGTTTAAAGGGCTATCGGATGCGCTTTTCCTCGGCGCTGTAGCTCTTTTGGTTCCCGAGTTATGCGTTGGCTTCTTGGAAATTGTCGACATTCGACCTGGAAATCGGCGAAATTTTGCCTTCAATGACCTCTAGTGACCTGACCTTTGACCTGAGCAAAAAATTGACCGAAATGATTTCCTCATAATTTTTGACGCTCTTTCGAACGCCGCCTTCTGCGTATCGCTACGTGGCCCAGGAGCCGAGTTAGAAGGGGGGGGGGTGTTCAAACACCTTCCCCAGTATAGGGCGTGGAAATCCAGGACCCCCAGCCGGGCGCGGGTTAAGTGTCTATTTACCATTCGGCTGGAGGGATAACAATTTGTCACAAGCTGATGTCAAGGTTTTATCAAGGTTGGCCTTTTGGCCTGGAACAAAAAGCAATAGTTACTAGCAAAAAGTAGCAATAGGAGCTTCAGTCCTCGGTCATATTTTTCGTCCTCGTAGTGTTAAATGCCATTAAAAGGGTTGGATATACATATAATATACCTAAACATCTTATTCTGTGGCCTGTGCTAAGTACAAACGTTAGTTTCCTTTCTAACAGAATGGCCATTTCCACACATAGCTCTCGGTGATTCCATAAGCTAAGGTTCTAAATGTCAAGTTCTAAAATGTTCCTTGATGAGGCATACCTACTTCCTGCTCCTGTGGAGTCTCGACAGTTGCCAATTTGTTATTCTTTCAGTGGACAAGGTAGCCGGGCGACTGGAGCCATGCGGGCCACTCAACATCAAGTCGCGTCGCGTCCTCAAGGGCCACCAGGGCAAGGTGCTGGCTCTCGACTGGTCGCTGGACAAACGTCACATCGTCTCCTCCTCACAGGTGGGTCTGTGACGTCATCACACGGCAGTGACGTAATCTGTGCGTCGGCGCTAAGGTGTCCGGTAAACACGGGGCTCTCGGGTCACGGCGCCCGTCGGCTGCGGGGTTCGTGCCAGGATAATTTGGGAGGCCCAGGGTAGAGGAGGGAGGAGAGAGAGAGAGAGAGGGGGAGGAGAACGTGTTTGGACTACCGGTTCTGGAGATCCCAGATCCGGCCGCCGCGGCGTCAAGAGGTGCAAACAAGGGAAATACCGAAATGTGTATGACGAAATGTCAACCAGTATGAAATCTGTAAGTGATAGTGATGCGCAGTTGTAGATAATTATTGTCAGGCATATTTGAGAGCTGAGGGGTGGTCAGAGGACGCATAAATGTTAGGTATGCTGCTCTAATTCGGTAGGTACCTGTAGGTAACCTGAGACCATGGCGGGTCATGAAGACTAAAGTTTCATGGAACTTACAGCTTAGTAAGAATAGTAGCGCCCACAAATACACGAGTTCCTCGAATTGTACCATCATGCTAAAAATAAACAAACCGGATTTCTGAATGTCAAAGCCCGAAACAGCATTGACTTAAACTCTCCGACAGCCGCCGCCGGCGTTTCCAACACAGACATCTAACACATAAGATCTCCACGGTTCACAGGACGGCAAGATGATCCTGTGGGACGCGTTTACCACCAATAAGGAACACGCCATCACTATGCCGACCACCTGGGTAATGGCGTGCTCGTACGCGCCCAGCGGCAACGCCGTCTGCTGCGGGTCAGTACCGAATGCGTAATGTTACAGGAGTGCTGCTGTGAATTTATAAGTGGTGTTTGGGATGGGGATAAGGATAAGGATGACTGGGAGAAGGATGAGGATGTAGAGTGGATAAAGGATGGGTTGTGGAAGGATTCAGGCCGGCCTACTGGCTGTTGTGGTACCTTCTGCTAATATTCCTCGTGTGTCTAGGGGTATTCAAATCTGTGTCATCTGCACAATCCTACTCATCGTTGTCTAGGGGTATCGTCTTAACACTCAACAATCCTTTAGCCGTTGTCTAGGGGTATTTACTGATCGACCAAAAACCATGTGTCCCACAAACCCGTCCGAATCATCATATTGCCAGCGTTTCCACAATCATTTCCAACCTCGAAAAAGAACGGAGTAAGATATACATATTAAATATGTATTGAAAATGAAAAGGCCGAAATAAATAAAAGCGAACAAATCAAACAAAAGTGCCAGAAAACGAGCAATGTCACGGTAACCGTGCACTGCTAAAGTCATCAAGTAAATATTGCCAAAGTGCCGAAACATTCAATGAAAGCCGAAACAATGATCAAGCCGAAATCATGACACCGAAATAATATTGCCAAAGGGGTGGGACTGACTCATAGCAACCAAACGTGCCGAAATGGACTGAGTCGAGTCCCGAAACACCGTGTCTCAAAAAGACATATAGACCAATCAATTGAACCTAAAAACTGCCCACAGTACCGCGGCCATCCTGAAATGTTGTTACCTACGCCAGTGTGACTAATGTGCGTGTCTGTGCCTGAGACATATCTCCGACCGCAGCAGAGACTCAACCGAAGTCAGGCTCTAACCCTTTCACTCCGCCGGTCGGAACCAGTGGCGTGGATAGGCTTGGCAAGAGTCCGGTTAGAGACGTCCGACTGGGCAGGAGATAAGGCCCAAGAACTTACATGTTTGTAGATCAGACGCACAAGGCGACCACCACGGGCGGCGTCGGGACCACCACTGCCCGCGCGCGAACCAGAGAGCAAGAGCCCGAGAGAGAGAGAGAGAGAAGGTCTCGAACGCGCTTATTTATACCTTCGCACATTCACCGCACAGGGCCGCGCCCGTCTCTATAGCCCGTCTCGGGGCTGGCGCGGCCGGCGATCGGCGCCATGGTATTTCTATATAGCATTCACATATCTTACCAATTGTCATATCGCAGTATTCTAATCTACCACCACCATAGTGCAATGTAGCATCAGTACACGCTCCCTATCGAACAATGCACAACAATCTGTACCGGTGTTCATACTACTCACAACGTACAAACTACGCAGGCCGCCACCTGCAATTCATATCTAAATACCGTCACCGCACCGCAAGCATGTTAAAATAACACGTCGCTACGTAACATTCAGGTCAACGCACCGTCACTGCAATCACTGCGCCGTACTTTGTGTGTCGCGTATCTGAACAGCCGCGTCGTAATTAACGCTCGGGCATAACCATGTACCTTCTAAATGTATATTCCTCATCACCCTTCCTGATGTTGATAACACGAAACTCACTCGATGTCTTCTTGCTGCAAAATTACCGATGCATTGCGCCAGCTGTTCCTGTTTCCGACTGTCTATCCACTGCGCGAGTGCCTATCCGGAGTATTTTTGTTACACTGTTCTAATAATCCCTTCATGGGATATCGTCATTTCACGTTTCGCATAATTGATCGTTAGACGGGATACCTTCATCTCTTATTCCCTCGATGACCGCGAAAGCAACACCTCGGTCGTTCGGTTTGTCTCTCAGTTCATACTTGAGTAGGTGTGCAGAAGATACGATTTGAGTTAATAAGAAATCGGTCACACCGAAGAGCCGGTATTGCTGCTTTGCATGTAGATCATGCACTGTCCATGGTCTGTCCGCTCCATTCCAGCCGAAGTACTGACAGCGCGCGCTCAGGGTCAGAGCTGAGCAGTGTACGACCCTCCCGCAACCGCGGGCTGCCGCTCGTTATCTGGCACCGATGTTGCAGCTGATTCTGATCGGCCATCACCTGTTGATAGCAAGATATGTGCACCGGAGCCAACAGCTGTGAACACAAGCATAGTCACCTTTTCCCCTCCCTGAGACCTGTTGATGAAATGGGGTAGGATAGATACGAAAGTTGATCATACTTTTTCAACTGCCCTTTCTTTTAAGCTGTATATCCAAAAGCTACCTTGTGGTGTGCAGATAATACAGCGATGAAACCACACCAGGTGTACCTATACTTCCTAAGGTTATGTAAATGCGTGGGCACGCCATCTCCTCGACGCGCTGAAACGCACAATGACCTCGCAGCGTCCGCGCTGGTCCGCGCCGCTCGCTTCTTGAGGCCATGGGTCATGGAACTCTGGAAATGCGTAATTATGGAGATGCCCCTGGGGAGAGGCACTGCTCTTCTGCAGAGAGAGAGAGAGAGAGAGAGAGAGAGAGAGAGAGAGAGGGTGAGATAGAGAGACGGAGAGAGAGAGGGAGAGAGAGAGAGAGAGAGTGAGAGAGAGAGAGAGAGAGAGACAGAGAGAGAGAGAGAGAGAGAGAGAGAGAGAGAGAGAGAGAGAGAGAGAGAGAGAGAGAGAGAGAGAGAGAGAAGGAGAGAGAAGGAGAGAACAAGCGTTCGTCTGTCATTCTGTCACTGTCTTTTGTTTCTCTGTTCCGTGAGGTGTGCTTTGCGTTTTGCCCTTATCGTACTCGCGATTATCTGCAGCCAGGAACCAATTTTCTCACATTCCTCCGTTTTTTATAACAAAATGATGATTACCACCTATGGGTTCTGAACCAATTTGCCTCTATGTACTCGTATTACCGCCAATGTGTTTTTGAACTAGCTTTTAAGACGATTAAATTAAATGACAATCGTGTCAAAATCGGTTGCTTCCACATGTCCACAGTCCAGTGTCCGACATCACCAAGCCATGACGATTCCGTCGCCCACGTCTATTGCCACGCCGTTTGACTGTTTTGGTTACCAGTACATGGCCCTAAGTAAAACAACATTTTCCACGAAATAATAGTTTTTATAACTATTGAACACAGACCTTCGGTCATGCCTACATGATAACGTCTGTTTCCTATTCGTTAGCCCCCGGCCTTCTTCGGCTCCCATTGATGACCAGAGCATGAATAATTTGAAACTGTAACGAAGCAATCCTTTCTACCACATAACCACACCATATCAAAGGTTAAATCTGACCTCTGAGGAAATTGAAGACTGGACGGTTGACCCGTTATCTTGTGCTGCGTACCGCATGACATTCACCCACTGTCCGTTGGAAATTGGGCTGGAAGTCTGTTACTTCCATGAGTTACCTTTACTCGTACTGCTGTCCCTGTCGTTTGATTCCTCACGGGAGGGTTCTGTTATACAAGGAAATGGTGAGCTGATCTGTTGTCAGAACTTCTGCAACAAATGTCTTCATCCCTACTTATTGAGTGTGCGGGGCGAGAATAGTGACAAAGGTCTCGGGGCGGCCATGGTTGCCCGGTAGTCGCACAGAATACCTCTTGAGATGCCGCCACGCCTGGGTCTCGCCTGTGATGTTTGACCCCTCGTAGGAGTTAAACATTGCCACCTTTGTATACGGTAAGCGACGTACCAGTACTCGTGAAGTGTTCCTCACGTGTATGGGGCCGACCGATCCTGGGGGCGGGGAACGAATGTTCCTTTGGAGACTCACAGCATCTCATGCTGTGTCATCCCACTTTGGCTGCGTCTTAGCCACCGATGAGCTGAGATCCCGCTCGTGACATTACTGGCCATCGTAAGGGTTCGACTGAGGACACCTGCGACCATTTGCCCCTGAACGCCAACTGATCACCGTATTCCGCCTTTGCACTCTCAGGGTAGTCAGAGGACATCGTGCTAGTCGAGACAAGAGCCACCCGACCATTTGGTTGTTGACATTCTCAGAGGATGTTTTTACGTTATCCCAACAGTGGGGTATAGTCACTCTGTTGTCTTATAAGGAAACTCACGACTTTATGGGATAGCAGTCGCTGGTTGAGTTGATCTCGCCGACCTTTGTCCGACTTATCTCTGCAAACGCCCATGTCAACAGACCAGCGGTTATGACATTCAGTAGCGGTCACTGCACAGTGTGGCCGAACACCAGTTTAGCGCGAATTTAATCCCAGCGCCGCTCGGATCCACTGAAAATGGTTCTCTGGTTCCAAAACTGACACTTACCCCTCGCCGGACTTATTGGTTTTCAAAATACGCGCCGGCCGAAGGGGGGAGGGGGTTGGTACGACCCCCGTCGCTGTTTCGCCCCTGATGGAGCTAGAGCCCCGCGGAAAAAAAACGAGCGTGTGCGCCGTTACGAGACGCAGCGACTGGTATCCGATTTTAAGGTCTCAGGCCAACCTGTGACCTCTGAGGTCAGGTCAAGTGACCCAGGCGCGGATTCATTTTTTATTAATAACTTCGCGAAAAAATGCCGCACAGCCGCAATTTTGGTAGCATCATGTTCGCCTCACTCAGGCGCGTCGAATGGTATACTTTTTGTTCGGCTGAAGTTAACTTAAGGTGTTGACCGTGGGTCAATGTCAGGTCAGCGTCCTCCAGATCACGAAGTTGGTTGAAGGAGGTCATGTTGCATATCATTCGATTCGGCAAGTCTTCCTGAGTCCATTGGTGGCTTTCCCGACTCGCTAGCTCAATTTAATCGGGAGTTATTGACGAAAAACTCTTATTACCCTAGTGACGTCATAAATGACGTCACGTAAGACCAACAATGCATAAGTGAAGCATCGGACCTTGCAAGGAGTGCATGAAATCACGATTTCGTGTGCTTGAGATAGTTTATTAGGCTGGAGCCTGTCCGGCCGCGCCGCCCCCGACCTTGGTCAGGTCACGTAGGGCGGCCGACTAGACATGTTCAAAGCTGAGTTGACGGCAAATAGGCAAAAACTGGCAGCTGAAACTTGCTCGCTTATGTTCAGAAACGTGCGGAGAGTTCAGCCATGCCCTATTCGTCATATCCATTTTTATCCATTTT